GGGGGGGAATAGGATCTGTTACTCAGGGTACAAGGATACATGCTACAACTCATATGCTGGTCATCACGGATACACAGGTAGAAACAGGGAGGTACAGAGGGGGGTGTAGAATCTTTTACTCAGGGTACAAGGATATATGCTACAGCTCATATGCTAATGTTAAAGTGTCCAAGCCTCTCTAATTGTAATTCTAATTGGGGTCATTGCTCCGATCATTGTCAAAGACATGTTTTAACCAATTCTGTATGGTTGATATATAAGTTCTTATATTACCATGTTAACACACCTCCTTTTTAATGTTATAGCAATAATAAATGACATGCATAGTATCTGTCTATTCCGTCATGCAATACGTACAAACTTATTAAACCTGTTTTACGGAATAAAGAGAAATAGTTGAACTACGTAGACGTGGTTCAACCACATCTCTTGTGCGCCAGGTTGAGCTGAAGAGAAGTGGTTCAATTTAGTTTAATTATTCATAAACTAATGTCAAGAGTGGATGAAAATTCTTTAAAAAAAGCATTAGCTTGTGATCGAAGCTTTCCCTGGAAATTAAAATTCTTAAAAACTTCAACCTACCAATTGTTTAACCAAACTAAGAACATTCCCGTGTGACCTACCGATTTCCCCAATCAAATATGAGGCAAATCAGCCAAGGGGTTCATGAGTTATAATAAAACAGACAGACACCCAAAAAGAGACTACTTTTTACGTATATAAAGGACTAAAAGAGTAGTTAGATGTTTGTTGGTTTGGATGTTCGATCATAACTCAGGAACTCGGGAGAACCATGTGAATGCTGTTAGCTTAGTTTTAAAATTCTAAGTTGATTTTTATAGGGAAAACTCCGAACTAGTGTATAGATATTGTAGATAGTAGGGTACAATATACAATTCCAATACAAAAAAATGCAAGGATATCTCGGGATTGGAAAATTACAGTTTGTGGCAAATACTCATTTCCTTTGAAGACAAATTTAGTAAAATTCCTAATTTTTTACCATGGAAAGTAAATATTTCAGTTCAAACTTAAACAAAGGAAATAAAATGCATTAATTTATTCTCTTTGAGATTTTTTCTTTTATCTTTGGAAGTTTGAAGAGAAGTGATAAATTTTAATTTTAAAAGTGGTCGAGGAGGAGGAAGATAAGAAAATACTGTCCTGCCAGATCCGCAGCAATCTGTCCTCTTGTTTTTCTGCTGGATGTTTTTAGTCCTGATTTGTTATATCGGATACAAACCCACACACCACATCAAAATCTTAAATAAGCCTATGACGTTTGCATGTCTATGGTTTAAGTATGTCAAACTTGTGTGCGTCCTTATTGTGCGACCTTATTGGGCGTCCTTATTGTGTGTCCTTATTGTGAATCCTTTTTATGCGTCCTCAATGATGCCTCCTTAGTGTGCGTCCTTATTGTTCGCCCATATTGTGCGTTCTCAAGGCTTCATCCTCAGTGTGCGTCTGTATTGTGATTGCTTTTTATGCGTCCTTATTGTGTGTCCTCATTTTGGGTTTTTTTTGTGCATCCTCATTGTGTGTCCTCAATGTTGCGTCCTTATTGTGCATCCTTAATGTTTTTCCTCGCTGTGCGCCCTTAACGTGCACGCTTATATTTAAAATTATATCATTTGCAATGGTGAATTAAGATAATGTCATTTTTAATTCTAGTAAGCTTTCAGAATATACTCAGTCCATATATGGACTTTTGATCAAAAGCAAACACAGAAAGCTTGTAATGGGCTTTACCTTATAGATCAAAAAGGAACCCATCATTCGAGCACTGCAAACCAATATTTGCACATTCTCACGCAAAAATCGAGTCATGTTTTGCCAAGTACTTTAATTACTTAAGGTAGAAGCAAGGCCGTTGCAATTTTAAAATGTAAATGTCTAGGGCCACAAAATGTATAAGTGAGTTGGTGAGGTAAAACCATAGGTCAAGGCAATGCAATGCGACACTTTTAAGTCGAGGATTTTTAAAAATTTTGATGATTAACTTTCAGAGTTGTCTAGATTTTTGTGTAAGGGTGAAAGCTTTCATGCTAATCCAGAAATTAATTTCTGAACCAAAATCTACTTTCTTTTAGTTATCAAGATAAACAGCTCTGAGTCTAGAATTAATGTCTTTGGGATATTTACTTGGTTTAACCAGATAGATTCAGCTTTACTTTCCCATTATTTACTGTTGGATAAACCTAGAATTAAGATTTCTGTTCTTTTAATGTAGACATATATAACGATTTGTTTGCGGACCCTGATTTGTTTGCAAATCCTGATATGTTTGCAAATCCGGATATGTTTGCAAATCCTGATATGTTTGCAAATCCGGATATGTTTGCAAATCTGGATATGTTTGCAAATCTGGATATGTTTGCAAATCCGGATATGTTTGCAAATCCGGATATGTTTGCAAACCCGGATATGTTGCAGATCCGGATTTATGTGTACAGATCCGGATTTATAAATTTTGATAAAAAAGGATTTATATGAATTTACATTTCTGTATCAAAATCAGTATTTTTGGTTGGCAACAATTTTTATAGAATCCTGATTATCTTAAAACTTATTTATGCCAGGCCTTTCACTTGGATTTAACAGTTAGGTCCTTATCCCAGCAAGTTTTGACTTTCCATTACAATTTGACCTATTAGACATACATTTTTCACCTTTTCTTTTTATACTTTTTTGTCGGCTTAAACATTCTTTGTTAGTTCAAAAATTGAATTGTTGAGTAATAGTTAAAAACGCGATTAAATCAAGATAGAAGAAACCAAATTTATTTACCCTGGTTAGTCCGTGGTGTCCTGGTCAATGTTAAAACCAGCTCTTCACACTGGAATGCCATTTACTCTCAGAAAAACTAGAACCAATGGAAATTTAAATTCCTTCTTGGCCGGTTCAATCTTACACGCTTGGGCTAAGTGCTTATTATAGTGCTTGTGGCTAAGTGCTGCAGTGCTTGTGGCTAAGTGCTGCAGTGGATATGGCTAAGTGCTAAAGTAGTTTTGGCTTAGCGCTACAGTTGTGGCTAAGTGATTAAGTTGATATGGGTGCTAAGCGCTACAGTTGCTGTGTCCAAGCACTGTAGTGGATGTGTCTAATTGTGCAGCAGTGGATATAGATTAGCGCTACAGTTGCTGTGTCTAAGCTTTGCAGTGGATGTGTCTAAGTGCTGCAGTGGATGTGGCTTAGCGCTACAGTTGCTGTGTCTAAGCTTTGCAGTGAATGTGTCTAAGTGCTGCAGTGGATGTGGCTTAGCGCTACAGTTGCTGTGTCTAAGCTTGGCAGTGGATGTGGCTTAGCGCTACATTTGGTGTGGCTAAGCGCTGCAGTCGATTATGCTAAGCGTTTTTTAACCCAAAAGTGTTTAAAGGCACTTTAGTGGTTTGCTGGTTGAAATCAAATTCTCTCTAAAGAAATATTGGAGAGAAACTAAGATACTGCCGAATGCTGATTTATATCTTTATCCTTTTATTTCTCTCTTTTTATAAATATTAGTCCGCGCCAAATATCCAGCTAGGCAGCACAGTGTGAAACCTAGCATGAAATATCTAGTTGTAAGACCAAGTTTTGAAATAATATCCCGTAGTCCATATTTATTTGGATCTGGATCCAGAAAATATTCTTATTCCAAATCTGGATCCAGATACCATTCTTATACCGGATTCGGATCCAGATACTATTCTTATCAATTAAACATTCTTATTCTGGATCTGGATCCAGTAAAATTTTTATATCAAATCTGGATCCAGATACCATTCTTATACCGGATTTGGATCCAGTTACTATTCTTATCCCGGATCTGGATCAATTAAACATTCTTATTCTGGATCTGGATCCAGTAAACATTCTTATATCAAATCTGGATCTAGTAAGCATTCTTTTATTGTATCCGTATCCAGTAAACATTCTTACCCCAGATCTGGATCCAGTGAACGTTCTTTTACCGGATCCGGATCCAGCAAACATTTTTAGGCCGGATCTAGAACCAGTAAACATTATTATCCTGGATCTGGATTTAGTAAACATTTTTATCCTGGATCTGGATCCAGTATTCCATTCTTATACTGGATCTGGATCCAGTATTCCATTCTTATACTGGATCTGGATCCAGTATTCCATTCTTATACTGGATCTGGATCCAGTATTACATTCTTATACTGGATCTGGATCCAGTAACATTCTTATCCTGGATCTGGATCCAGTAAACATTCTTTTCCTGTATCTGGTTTCCAGTTTACATTCTTATACCGGTTCTGGATCAATTAAACATTCTTATCCCGTATCTGGATCCAGTAAACATTCCTATCCCGGATCTGGATCCAGTAAACATTCCTATCCCTGATCTGGATCCAGTAAACATTCTTATCCGGAATTCAGAGCATTCGTCTGAATTCAAATTCATAGAATTTATGCTTGTGAAAGTTTCGTTCCCTTTTTCGAAATACACACAATAATCCAATGTTTTCAATTTGTCAATCCAATTGCTAAAGATGTCTCTAAAGGGCCGGAATGTCCAATAAATCTTTGATAAATAACCTCACGTTTGCGTCAAAAAAGGTTTTTTTGGTGGTTATCATTTGTAATTTGAAGCAATCTTTGAATGGCTAAATTGTGCATTTAAAGAGAAGCCTATTGGAATTTTCATGAATATTTTTACCACAAGCACAAAGAATTATGACAGGAAATGTTCTACAACAAAAGCTTAAATAATAGGGAATATAATAATACTAAATGTACATTTTCATTCAAATATCAACAAAACAAACGAGAATATTTTTAGAGAATGAAATGTAAAGTTTAAGCTTTTCCTTATGTATAAAGTTCGATGATACAATTGTCTTTTAATAAGATAATAAACTGTTAAAAAATGCAATGATAGCCTGCCCAAATTCTAATTCCTAATATTCTTATGCTGTGAACATTTGACTAAACAATATAGACGTTGATTTATCCATCATATTTGCTGTTACAACAAAGTTGTTGCTATATGCAGCAAAATTTTAAAAAATTTGAATTTTAATGATTTAACTTTTTATTTTGTTTTAGGTTATTAAAAAATAGGCTTAATTTAAAATTTAATTAATTTAGGTGTCAGATAGTGGTCAGTACAGATGCACTGCTCGGAATGAGGTTGGTGAAACAAGTATTACAATTCACCTTCAAGTTGAACCTCCACTGGTTGTTGGTGAGTTATTACAGTTTTGTCACCTTTGAACAGACTTATTTCAATTGACCCTGTCTAACCTTTATCCTATGAAAAAGTGGATTATTTTTAGGTTTAAAAGTGTTTAATTCTGATAATTTATTATGTTTCCTCCTGAAGCCACTTTTGCGGAGAAACCACAATTGAAAACAATCAAGTTAAAAAAAATATAATTTAAACCTCATTCATACTGGATCAGACTCATCAGACAAAGGTGTTAAGGGTTAATGCAACTGTTCTGAATCAGGCTATGGGAGTCACTTTAATTACGCTTACAACCTCGTTAGAATGTTTTTTTCCACCATTCCTTTTCAAAACTCCCTGGGTTTGATACAGCTTTAAAATCCTTTTTTTTTTAACCCCTCAGGAAAGAGCGAAAAAGTTTCAACAAATAAATTATTTTAAACCAATCCTAGAAAAAAGTAATGATAGCCAAAGCCAAGTCTGAAATAGCGAATAAAATGATAGAACTGTAAAAGTTTTCAAGAAACATAATGTTTAAGATTATAAAGAAAACATCCAAATTTTCAAATTTGTAAAACGATATGTAAACAGAATGTTTAATTTCTTTCAGATAAGTTTTCTATAATGAACTTTCTAACCCTGAGATATATTTCTATAGTGAATAAATCTAGAAAGCAAATATTAATGGAATTCTTTGGCAAGAAAAACAAGAACCGAGAAATAATGTTTAAAAGAACTAGATTCTCTTTAATGTATGGGGAACTGGTGGAGAAGAAATAAAGGGAAAATCAACACCTTAAAGGGAATGTTTGCAAAAAATGGAAGGGGTACAGGCTAAAATGAATTTAGTTTGGAACGGAATTGTAAAAATCGTTCATAATTCATAGGGCAGAATCCAGTAAATCCCCAATTTGGTCTACACTGTACCTAAATCAAAACATAATTAATTCAATCAATTTCAAACAGATTTTTGTACTTTAAAATTAAACATTTCGGGTAAATGCGGGATTTCACTCTGCTGTAAGGGACAGATTTTTTTTTTACAATTTTCTCATTACTGAAAAATATTAAAGGAATTTAATTTTTGCCACAAACTCTGATTTTTTTAATTCCTAAATCTTAACAACGCAAAGTCGTAGACCATAGAAATTTCAAACTATGACTTCTGTAATATCAAATAATCCAAATTTCAAAAATTCGAGGTTTACATCATCTGGTGGTAGAGATAAAGGTATTAGAAAATTTGGTATTGTGGCAAAGACTCAATTCCTTTGATTCAGGTTTAGCAATTTCAGCAAACACTCTCTTTAAAGTAAGATATGAAACGTAATCATAGAGTAATCTTAAATTATTGTTAAAAAAGATTTAGTCAAGGGATTTTTTAAAACTTTATAAATGCTTTCCAAAACCTAAAGGGATTATTGCATCGGGTGGATTTCATTTATGATATAAATTGATGACTTAATCTAATGCCAGCTGGTAAGTTAATTAGAGCAAGGGATAGCTCGTAAATGACAGATTACATTTTCTTGTATCACTTTTTTGTGTTTTGATCCGCTGCGCAATATAGTCTGATTTGATAATGTTTGTGCAAAAAAGCATCTAAACTTGTTATCCATATTAAATTAAATGATTAAATATTTTATCATTATCAACAGCTGACTTATACTTTCCTAACCTCTCATTGGCTAAGAGCAGATATTTATGGGTTCTGATTGGTTGTATCTTTCAAGAGGTCCAAAAAGAATGGACTTAATCTGTCTGACTATAAAAAGATACTGATTTAAAAGGATTTACAATTCAAAATGTCCGACTACAGAAAATACTTAAAAAAGGATCCATATCTAATTTTTTTGAGATCTAGATATTTATTATCTCCGTATCGAGATTATATTAATTGTACAAAATTGTTCACATGCATTTAATACAACTATTTTACGATACTATTGTGTACATATATTTTTAAATTAAATAATAAAAAATCATACGGATACATTTTATCGTTTTTTCCTTTCATTAGAAATTTGGATTTAGGGATACTTGGATCCTGCAA